ATTAAGGTCCGTCTGAATGGTGCGGCAGGGCGCATCACCTCTACAACCCAAACCAAAACAACCACAGATTCCCATTCTGCGTTCGGCACTTTTGCGCCTTCCATGCGTTGCCATATACCCCGTAGTACCAAAAAAATCCACCAGGTGAGGGCGGAATCTAGTGTCCGGTGGCGAGAAACGTTGCTCGTGCGTAAAGTCTCGTATGGGTAGTTTTACTGTAGGCGCCGCAGGACCTATTGGTGATTGTGATTGGGTGACTGGGTGGAACTGTCATGTCTACTACTAGGAGTACCCACAAGGCATGCATTCAAGCCAGAGTCCGGCTTGCCCTTGGTGCAAAAAGACATGTACACACTCACACATGCACATATGAACCCGCTCATATCAGCCACCCTGTAAGCCGTGCATGCAAGTCTGATAGTGTACATAGCAAAACCCATGGATAACAAGGCCGACTTGGCCATTACTCTAGTACAGTACCCCACCACTGTAGTCCCCCGACTCGCCTGACCCCACCACTCGAGCAGTAGTAACCTAGTAGTCATCAGGACATCGGGCAAGCATCAACCATCCCAGCCCACCCTTCTAGCCCATCATAAACAGACTCTCAAGCTCCTCTGGCGTCAGCGTACTCTTCCTTCTTCTCGGACGGCCGCCAACCCTAGTCTTCACCGGGGACCGTGGCGGGCGCTTCGCACTCCTGGGCTCGGCTGCAAACCCTGCGCCTGCCTCACGCGCCTTCTTCACCGGACTGGCGGCCCTGACGGCGGCTGATTCCGCTTCTGCCTGCACCACCCTGAGTTTATCTTGCACCGTCAGTTTCGCCGACGGCTCGTCTGGGTGTGCTTCGTTGGAGAGGCGCTTCTTTGTCTGCGTGAAGTTGTCAGAGTCAGAGCGGTCGAGGGGAGGGTGGTAGTCAGTCGAGGATTCGAAAAGGGGAGAGGAGGAAGGTGAAGAAGGTGAGGAAAACGTGACTTTGCTGGCCATTTTCATGATCCGGTCCGCAAGGCTGTCACAACGTACATGGCGTGGTGTGCGATCGTCGCGCCCTCGAGGCTTTGCTGCTCGATCTTGTGATGGCGGGGCTTTGGTCGGAGAGCTTGCGCCACTGGCTTTCTCCGAGCCTACCAGGTCAATGCCTGATGCGTCTGCATTCTCATTCTCGACTTGCGATGGCGTGTTGGGTATCGATGCCGAAAAGGCTACCTTTCGAGGAGATCTGCTAGCTGACGCGTTGCCGTTTGTTTCGCGGAGCGCAGCTGCATTCGCTTGCCGCTTCAGTTTGAACTGGTCTTGCTCGGCATCGGGCGAAGAGGGTGCTTGCCCTTCTGACTCGACGTCGGCGGCCTCGTCTCCTTCCTCATTGTTGCTCTCGTCCACCTCGTCGTCGAACATGGAACTCCCATCTTCTACAGCCTCCTCATCCTCGTCCATAGAGGCCTCACCTCTTTCCTCGTGATCGAGACCCATGTCGAGACTGAAGCCCATCTTCAGTTCGTCAAGGTTGATTGTGTCTCCGTTGGTCATGCGCTTTCGCCACGAGTCCATGAGCATAAAGGCCTCTCGCAGACGTGCTTCCATCTTCTCCCAGCCTGCACGTAATCGGAGTATCTCCTCCTCACGCATCTCCACCTCATCCACGGCCACAAAGTTGGGGTTGGTCAGCAGATTCTTGAGATTGTCCAGCACCGTGTCCATGTCGGTAGCCAGAGTTTCGTAGTCTGTGGGCAATGCCTGCATCATGCCCTGCTGTGTGTTTTCTTCCTCTTCGCCAATCATCGAGAGCCCTTCTGCTCCTGCTTCCTCTCGCGGACTCTCACGGTCTGGCATGCCCTGCAGCTCCCTCAGCGTCATGAGTGTGTTTCGCACAAGGCCAATCAGACTGTCGTTTTCATCACTGAGGCTCTGGCTTAACTGTGTCAAGAATTCAGTCGTTTCCTGCTTGAGGCTGTATGCGGGATCGTCCACGTCGGGCGCATCATCGTTGAGGACGCTGGTAGAGCCGGCCAGGCCTAGGCTGCCGGGGTTGATGGTGATGCTCGCGCCCACCAGCCCTGTCTTGTTGCCCCGCTGCTGGCTGGTCAAATGCGCCTTCAGCCGCTGAATCTCTCTGTCGCGCTTGCGCACGTCGTTTGTGCAGCTTGTGCGGACCTGCTCGACCGTTGTCTTGAGGCGCTGCATCTCGGCGCGCAGTTTGCGGGCAGACGACTCGGCCGTCTGCAGGGCTTTGCGAGCAGACTGCTCTTGCGCCTGGGCGAGGGACAATTGGCGCGACAGGTCAGCGTTGCGCGTGTGCAGCTTCTCAAGGGCCATTGTCTGGCGCGTCGACTCTGCGCGATGGCTGCGCAGCGTGTCGGCCATGGACTCGCGATATTCCTGGTCGCGCTGTACAAGTTTGGTCAGCCTGTGGTGCCCTCTCACCCCCGATATTTCTCCTCTCCTCTACAAGAAGACACTCTAAATGGGTAAATGGAGATACACACGTCACGCTTCAAGATCAGGTCGTGCACC